GATGAAGGAGAAAAAGAGGAAATGGAGTTAAACCATTTCTAATAGACAAAGGTAAGGGGATTAGAATGAAATTCCATTTAAGCCATTTAGTTCCCGATTCAATTCCTTTAACCCCCGCATTTTATAATTTTTATGAATATGTGCATATAAATGGCAAATGATTTAACTTAACAAAGGAAAATGGACACGTTATATGCACACAAATGAAATAGACCCCTACAGGGATGAAGGCGTTGACTGAATCCATCAAACATTGGGAAAAATTTAGCATTTGGCATCTAAGACTATCTTTGATTAGTTAGTGTTTCTGAAGAAGAGGTTGTAAAGATGGAGAGGGTAATCAGAGAGAGAGAGAGAGAGAGAGGGGGGGGGGGGAATGAAAGATATAAGTGGAAGATGTGCAGTGCAATACTTGAGATGAGTATACCAGCAAATCTAGCAAGTTGATGCGGAATATTTATCATAAAGTTAGATATGACATTTTCTTTGTTTTCTTTATTTAAATGAAAAGGGGGCAAAGTATTTTGGGATGACAAAAAAGGAAAATTGGCGAAGTTATAAGGGACGAAGGGAGTATAATGTAACTAAATTCAATTTAACAAATCATATTTAGCAAAGTTTCATAAAGACCGTATGAAATGAAAATTCCAAAATATGTGTTTAACTTGTAGAATATGAGATGTTCTTGTTGCAAGACTAAAAACATTTTTTTATTTCCGCTACTTTTAATTTGAAAGGTTGTGAATAGTTGGGATAAATATTTTGACACCAAAGTATTTGTAATAACTCATAAGTCAAATATCTCTTGCTATGATGACTAATATTATATGGTTTCTTGTTGCATAAATTGGAAAATTAGAGCGCAAGATATAATACAAGCAATATTGACTAATTTTTAAGGAAAAATCTGCATTAGCATAATCTAATTGAAAGAATGTATTGTTGGTTAGTATGCTTTGTGATAGAGATATCATCTTCTGTGTCAAAATATCTTGTACTTGGAGTACTACACAAATATTAATTTAATTGGAAAATACATATGAGCTTATACTATTTTAGCTTATAATTTCTATACGGGAAGGGTATTAGCTTTTTAAGAAGTTTTTTACTCTATACGGGAATGAAGTTTTGATGAAAGCATGGCTTTATCTTTTTGTAAAGAAAGTTTACAAAGTATGTTGCTATAAATATTTGGTTAGCATGATGCCAATTTAAAAGTTCAAGTATTATGATAGACAAACCTAAAACAATGCATTTTCTTTGAGATCTTTAATATATATAAAATCAGCCTTCAATTGGCCTAATTTGTTGTTAAAACTCTATGTTAACAAATTTAATTAGCTTATTGCTTCTTCTTTTTAACCTTTACATTATAGGCCATACATGATTATATGTTTCAAGATAGCAATGTAAACAACATTTGCTATTTTCTTGAGTTGCATGTGCTTCTTATTAGATTCTATGATGTAATCCATCTTATGAGAAAGAACTTTTATGACGATCTTTGAATGTTGAGTTTTCAACACAATGATTCCACTATTAAGTTAAATATTAGTTTCTACATTTTAACCTTGGTGACTTTATAATATATATACATAAGTAGATATTGACGTTCAAGTCAATTTTAGCATTACCAGCCTGGGCTGAAGAAGTAAACATAAATATTTGGCGACGTTCTGCTGTTGGTAACCAAATATACTCTATAACGAGGTATTGGGATTGTGTGACCTTGACATAATTGTGAGTTCTCTAGCTGCAAATAGATTACACATTTAATTTTGCATAACAACATTTCCAACTTGCACTTATTGTTGTTGTTCTCTCAATATGCACGATTTGAAGTGTTTCATGATTGATGAGGGATATACGAATTAGGATTATGATAATCGAATCAAACTTTGTAGCAAAGATTAGGACACCATGAACCTTCTTTAGAATAGTATGCCCAAAAGGTCGTCTGTTAAATTTAACTACATAAACTGGGAGCGTGACTGGGTGATATGGGCTTGAACAAACTCGCGCATATGGATATACATCAAATTGGGAACCTTACGAGACTCCTACCATGGACAGATAGGACCCCGAAGGGCATCACTTTTATACGAGACTTGTATGTGGCGAATAAGCGCACAACACCTTTATAGGAATCACACACAATTTAATAGTTTAATTAAAGTATTCAATTTGACCTACAAGTTGCACTAAGTAAAATTGGCCCTACGGATTCTATTACACAAATTTGACCTGGTTGATTGTGTAAATTCGCTAGGGGTTACAAGTTGAATATAACATATTGTCCCTATGGGCTATATCGTTGAGCATACATGGTAAATATATTAAATTGGACCCATGGGCGGTTTTTGTTTAAAAAGTTTGGCTAAATTTTAAATTGTGCCTAGACTCACAATTTTTGTTGTATATATAGAATATATGATTTTATTATATATGTATGCCCTATTTTAGGGTCTCATGTACTAATGGGGTTGTAGTATGGACCCCTCCGAGTATATAATAAATATTCTTACTTCAAAGCTTGTAATTGGTACATGCGCTCTTGTAGAATGTATGCTCGGATGAATACTTAGTTCGTGCTTCCCGTCTCGTTTTAATTTTTATTTAGTTACTTACTTCTCACAGTCAATATTTTGTAAATTGAACTTCATTCTTTGTATTGGGCATGTGTTCTTATATTTTTTTCATCTATGTTTGATATCAATTAAACAATATATTTCATTTTGCAGATAATCAATTACCTTTATAATATGTTGTATAGGATACATAGTGTATGTGAGTGATGTATATGTGCCTTGTACAATTCGATAAGGGTAAAATGCAGTTGGTCTAAGTGAGTTATACAAGGACTGTCAACGTAAATTGTGTCACCAACATATACGTGGCGCGATATTCTACTTGGTAGATCTATAGAAAAATCTATATTTCATAATGTAAGTAATAACTTGTATTTAGATTTTGATGATGCTGTATAAAATTGTAACTTAGAGTACCCATGTAGATAAATTGTATTTAGATTTTAGAGTTTTCTATTACAAGTTTTAGAATACTCGACTTTCAGAACAACACAGTTCTTCAAGCTTGGGACAAAACCGCTAAGACGCAAGTGTTGGGAACACATTTGGTCTTGAACAGAACCGGCTTCGACAGAAACGCCAGCAGAAGAGCTCTCGCACAAGAATCTTAATAAAAGATGTACAAAGTTGCACATTATATGTTCATTTAATGCCATCAAGGGGAATTTTATTTAATACTCTCAAAATAGTAAGTTGATACACTTCAACGGGAAAACCACTCTCAGTATAAGAGATACACTTAGAAGAATTGGACGAAACAAACTTTGAAAATCAAGCGTACAAATTCTTGAGAGCTAAACACTACATTCAAGACAAGAATTCAAACGAGATCTTGGAAGGCTTAATTTTTAAATCCTACATCCAACTCTCAACACAAGTTCGTCATGGTTTTCAACCTCTCCGAAGGCTACAACAACACACCTTGTATGAAGTACGTTGGAGGAAAAACTTTTTGAACGTCTCAAATATTTTCTTCTTGCAAAAGAAGGGCACAAATGTAACACTTGAGATTTAATTTAAGCAGATTAATAGTAGTACTCATACCAAAAAGGTGCATTTCCTTTTAAGGGAGGTCATCAGCTAAGAACTCCAAAGTTAAGCGTGCTTGCATGGGAGTAGTCTTGTGATGGGTGAACCCCTGGGAATTTTCTCAGGGCGTGCACGAGTGAGGACAAAGTGCACGGAAAAGGCTAGTGGCGGTCTGTGAGGATAGTACTAGAGGTCCGGAGGGTGTGTATGAGTAATTACCTCAGGTTCTGTGGGGCCGGGTGTTACAGCAAAAGTAACCGGAATTAACAAAGAGTTTAATGGAAAAATGGACTAGAGGAACAAAGATTTCCAACAAGAAAATAGTTCTTACATTATCGTTTGATCTGGAACTTTAATTACACAATCAAGCTAGTCTTAGGGGAATTGAGAATTATCATTTGAGAAAACTCTCAAACTGACATGCTCGATGACTTGAATTAAAGTCTCTTTTAAGAGGTTGAGCTTAGCTTAACTTCTTAAAGTCATTTAAAAACACCCATTTCAATTTTTTTAAGTGAAAAGCTGAAAAGCACTTATATTAATGTTTAGCAAACACTCCATAAAGGACCTTCAAAATGCAATTGGATCACTTCTTTAAACTCAAATACTCAATGTTCATTAAAAGGGTAAAAAATCATCATTTAAAAACTTAGAGTTCATTGGGTAGTTTGTACCTTAATATTTTCCCCCCAAAATGAGTGTAACTTTTGGGAAACACTTTTTATGCGTGTAAAATACAAAAAAAACACCTTTTGATTAGTGTGTAACTTATTTTAAAACTATACTTCAAACAATTACATCACTTTGAACTTGTAAAGTACTTTAGCATATTTACAAAGGAAAAATATTACAAAGCTATAATGCGAAATATTTTAAAAGACGTCCTACAATTACATTAAAAAATCAAATTGCATGATATAAACTCTAATGTTTTACACTTGAAAATATTTATTTCATACGAGTATCTTACAGAAATTATCATTACGCAAAAGTTGAATTTAAGCTTCAAAAACTCAAAAATCCACAACTCCATTTAGGACTTGTTTGCAATCACTTAATTTAAGTGATTGTGACTTTTTTTTAAGAAAAAATCATTTATTTTATCAAATACTAGCAACTTTTACTTTTCTCGGCTTTCATGCAGAATCTACTTTTTACTTTTTCTATTACACTAAAATCACTTATTTTACCAAACACTACCAACCTTTAATACTAATCATTTTTTCTCAAAAAGTGTTTTTATTTAAGCACAATCACTTACAAACAGAGCCATTTGTAAAGGACACTGCTATTTTTGTAAATTCACGGTTGAGGCCTTAAGGCCTTTATAAAGCGAGGGTTTAAATTTGTGAACTACAGCGCCATTTGCTGGCTGAAAGTAGGAGAGGACCCATTCAAACTAAGCGGGACTCTAACAAAAAAGCCGTGTTGCATCCAACTTCGTAAAACCCTAGATTCAAAAATTAGGGTTCATATTCTAAAATCCTCCCAATTTGGGGTTTCTCTTCCTATCTAGCATTTTGTTTAGGGCGTCCAATTCGTCGGGCTTCGGTGATGGAGGATCCGGACCGGAACAAGCTGTTTCTTGGGGGGGTTTCGTGGGAGACCACCGACGAGACCTTGAGGGACCACTTCTCGAAGTATGGAACTGTGGTTAGCTCTGTGATCGCGAAGGATCGGAGTACTGGCAACCCTCGAGGGTTCGCTTTTGTCTCCTTCTCCGACTCGTCATCCGTCGACACTGCTCTACAAGATACTCATGAAATTCTCGGAAGAACGGTGGGTCTTTAGACCCTCCCTTTAAGGCATTATTATTATAAAGTTTCAATTTTTTCTGTATGCGGATTTTTCTTGGCCTTTTTTTGTTACCTGGTGGGCTGTTCTGTTACTGTATTTGGATTTTTAACTCCACTTTTCCATTTTTAGATGGCGGATTTGGTCAGTTTGTGGATATATTTTTCATGTCCTAAATTTTCAATTTTTTTGCTTTATTTCTTACATCCAAGATTGGAAATTTTCCAAGGGCAATTAAGATTTTCATCTGCTACTGTGCTTTTATACGTGCATTTTGTTGTGAAGCGACGTTGGCCATGTTGTTGTTATAAAACATGATCAGTGTTTTTTCATGTTGTTATTTTCCATTTTGTTCATTTATCTATATGATCAGTAGTTATTGTTTTATGTTTTTATTTTTATAGGTAGAGGTGAAAAGAGCCATACCCAAAAGTGAGCAACAGCAGAATAGGGGGTTGATTAGAAACGGTAGGGTTAACAGTAGGAGTAATGATCAATTTAGGACCAAGAAGATTTTTGTAGGAGGGTTATCGGCCAATCTAACTGAGCAAGACTTTAAGAGTTACTTTGAAAAGTTTGGTAGGATCACAGATGTAGTTGTGATGCATGACAACATGACTCATAGGCCACGAGGATTTGGGTTTATTACCTTTGACTCAGAGGATGCTGTTGAGGAAGTGATGCAGAAGAATTTTCATGACTTGTGTGGCAAACTGGTGGAAGTTAAGAGGGCGGTACCCAAAGATGGTAGTCTTAGTGGTGTTGGATATAATAATGCAAGGTTAAGTAGTGGAAGCACTTCTCCCTTTGGTGATTACCAGCATGGAAACTATCCACCTTATAGTCCTAGATATGGTGTTTTCCCTGGTTATGGGCACGTTACAGGATATGGAAATGCTGCTGGGTATCCATATGGAACAGGAATTCTTGGAGGTGGTTTTCCTTCTGGTGGGCTATACAGTGGTCTTGGTTATGGAGTTGCTCCTTTCCAACCTAGGAGTCCCTGGAATGTCCCTTCAATGACTGGGCCAAGGGGAAGCCCATTGCTCTATGGTGGTAGCACTGCCTTCTATCCCGCTTATATGAATGGTGGTGTTAGCCCAATGGGCTTTGCTCCTAATGGATATGTGGGGACCGGAATGAATGGCGCATCAGGTTCAACACATCCTCAGATTGCCAATCAGAGCTGGAGAGGTAATAACGAACACAACAAATCTTATTCTGCTGGTAAGTTCTAACTGATTATTTTGTGACAAAATGTGGATATGGTGACAGGTTAGTAATTTCCCACACAGATGGATGGGGAAGTCTTGAGGTCAATTGACTAGATGTCCTTTTTAGGACATCTACTAATGTTATCCGATGCTGCCTGATTGTGTCATTTTTATTATCAATAACTTATGGGTACAGATTCAAGATGGATGTAACATAATTCTTTAAATTCATTATCTTTTCCGAGTGCTTTGGCTTTCATTTTGTTTTCTATTGTTCTAGATGTTAATTTTAAAAAATTCTTTGTGTAAGTATATTGGAAGTTGGAGATCAATGCTGCATACCCCATTTATCCATTGTGATTTTGTTTGTTTTACATGGATAGTTTCCCACCTTTGGAGATTATTGCTCCCATTGTAAATTTCAATTCCCTAAACATTAAAGATGCCTTGTTCAAGTTTCCGAGTCCAGGATTTTGAAAAGGCTGAACATGTAGTCAGTATGTTTTTCTTCTGATTTGAAAATTTACAGTTCAAAGCAGAAACGTTAGTGGATTTGAGAATTTTTTTACTTTCGCTGTTAATTGCATCCACAGATCCACTTGTTTTAACTAAATCACTGGGGCTTTGTACTATTTGTGACCTATGGATTGTTAACCTAGGTATCATTTTGTACATAACACACTTGTAATATAGTTTTGAATCAAAAGACTGATCCAGTATCTGTCATAGCCGCTGCCTAGTTCTTTGTAATACATGGTCTTCATGTTCATTGGGGTTATATTTGCCCATCTTCGCTTTGGGGGTGAACAACCAAGCAGGGTGAAGACATGCAGCTATGCAGCTGTTGTGATAACTCCCACATCTAACTTGTAGTTGTGGAGGGTTCTTATGTACAGTTCTACAGCACAGGATACAAATTTGATTTTTGGTACCACATTTCAATATTCAAAATGTTTTAAGATGTGCCAGCCCATTTGTTCCTAAATATTTGCCAGTAAAAAAGCAAGAGATTATTATTATTTCGATTTTGTTAAATTGTCATTTTTTTCAAAGAATATTGATATTGGTGACTGTTATCATTATTCTACAATCGATTAATTAATTATGTTTTGTTTGCAATGTGGATGGTTTTTTGTCACTTGAGAAATCTCGAGCTCTCAAAATAGCCAAGTAGGGACGTAGGGTTGACGGCTTGACGGCTTGACGGTCCAATTTTAATCTCATTTTGGGTTGTAATTTTTTTAATCCCGTTTTGTGTAGAGATTTTGAATTGTGAGGTGTAGACGTGTAGTAAGTGGTTGACAGTCTGTGTTTTTGTTTCTCAAAAAAAAAAAAAAAAAGGTACATACTCCGTATTATTTTCTTAGAGGAAACTTTTAAAAAAAAATTGACATTTGGGACGTCTTAAATCCTATGGTATTTTATTTTCAAAATTATATATCGTATTAAAAGTGGCATGCAAAATTAAAAGTAGTTTCCAAAATTTGTGTTCTTTAAAATGGACATATACCCTTATCATTTGAACTAGGGATGCATTGGGACGGCCGACGGGTCGGCCCGATCTGGGACCTGGCCAGGTGAACCAGGACCAGAACCGGGATTGAGGCCTGAATCGGGGGGTTAAACAGGCGGGCTACCGGCTTCAAAAAAGGTGGATCGATTCGGCCGGGTCGGGTATGGTTGGGGCCCCTTTTTTTTTTTTAACTTTTTGGCATTGGGTTGGTTGCTAGATTGGGGGTGGGTGGGGGTGGAGATGGGGTTTGGGGGGTTTGGGGTGGGGGTGGAGGCGGGGTTTGGAATTAATTCGAAGACCCTAAAAAAATTATTTGGAGCTCGGCCGATACCGGGCCTAAATATTTTGGACCTGGAGCTTGCTCAAGCCCAAGCCGGATCTCGGTCCACCCCTAATTTGAACTTTTGAAGCACAACCAACAATTAAAAATATACGGAGTAAAATAAAAAGTACCATCCAATAGTAGATCAACTATGGTAGAGATGATGGACATAGGGATGGAATGGGCCAAGGTGGCCCAGCCCGGGACCGGCCTGGCCCGATATTTGGACCGGTGGTTATAAAGGGCGGGCTTCAGGCTTGTATTTTTGGGCCCGGGCGAGCTTCAGGATTGATTTTTGGGCTTGGTCAGAGCCCGGTTCGAGCCTAATTGCAATTTTAAAAGATAATTTATTATATGGGTGGTAGTGACCCGGGCCCGACTTGGACCCGGGTACTGTTTGGGTTCGGAACGGAACCGTTACCGGAGCAGCCGGTACCGGGCTCCACCTTTTCAAAACCGGTACCGCCCGGATCCGGCCCGGTCCGACTTGGGTCCATCCCTAGTTGGAAACGTGTTAAGAGTGTATTGACCTACATTGATTTCAGTATAGATCAAAAATGTAAAAATTTCCAATTTCCAAGTGAATGAAGAAGGTAATGGTTCAAGCCTTGAAGGTTTGTGTGCAGAATGGACGCACAGATGTGTAGCCATAATAATTTTTTATCAAGTAAAGTAGTTAAGGTTGGCTACTTGGCTTGGTACTCACATTGACGGTTGACAGAAGCACCAAATCCAAAATGAATGAGTGACGGGGGGTGGATATGAAGACACATGGCAACGTTGACCATTTGGTTGGGAGCAGAAGTTGTACATGCTTCGTATTAAGTTTAGCATTCAATTTGATGTGGACAACACATATAGGAAGAGAAAGGGTCACGCGAGATGAAATTTGGTAATTTATTTTTAACCAGGAAAATTCTCTTTGTACACGCTAGTTTTTACATGTTAAGACAATTTGACTGGCTATACAGATAATTTGAACGACGTTTTATGAAGAAACCCAATTTTTCTACACACAAAAATATAAAAATTGTCTGTATCATAGACATTTTCAAATTCTTGTTTAAAATTTTCGTTTAAAATTGTTTGTATCATAGACATTTTATAAAAAAATTCTCGTCTAAAATGTTTGTCATACAGACAAACTCTTTATTTTTTTCTGTTTGAAAATCGATTTTCTTCATAAAACGCCGGTCAAATTGTACATGCACAAACAATTTGACCGGCGTGTAACCCGGCTTGTACACGAAGCGGGACTCCTTTTAACAATATAGCTTATCGGGAAATAGAGAGACAAGATGAATTTTAAGGCAAAACACAGTAGCATTTTTTAATGAAAAGATAGAACTTGTATTAAACCAAAAAGGGAAAACTATCAAATAAGCCCTTGTACTATCCCGAAAAAGTCGATTAGGCCCTCGTACTTTACAAACACTCAATTAAGTCCTCAAACTATTAAAAAACGTTCAACTAAGCCCTTTTGGTCGGTAAGTAACCGGTTTCCCGGTTAAACGACGACGACGACGATGATGTGCTCAAACCCCAGCAACGGCCGCCGCCGGGAAACGGGTTACATTTAACCAGGAAACCGGTTACTTACCAACCAAACGGACTTAATTGAACGTTTTTTAATAGTTCGAGGACTTAATTGAGTGCTTATAAAGTACGAGTGCCTAATCGACTTTTTCGGTATAGTACGGGGGCTTAATTGTTACTCCGTATTACATTTTCACAAAAGAGGCATACTCTCACTAAGTCATGAGCATAACAGGTCTATGCTTGAGCACAACTTCACACAATTTCATCTAAATCTAGTTTTCTTTAACACATCATTCTGATTCACCAAAGTTGGATCACAAAAATCTCAAAAGTCAATCATATTAGCCGGGTAAAGTTTAAACTGAGCCCGGCCTATACACATGTAGTCTCATTTGCACAACAAGACCATTGATGGTGAATCTTTATGGTCAAAAATAGTTTCATTCATCCCTTTCCACACTAAATAGTAAATACACAATGCAACACACTAAACGAACAACCCCACTTATGAGTCTCGCACCCCGTACTCATTCACGCACAATTTAACTATACTCAACAACGTAGACATATTTTCCTTCATCTTTATCCATTGTCCAACCTCCTTTCACAATTTAACAGTAGCATTGTGATAAATATGTTAGATTTTAGTGCAAGAATATCTACGTGCAGACATCGATTTGTTTTCCTTTCTGGCGAGACGCTTATGTCTGCCTCAGGCAAAAAATGCTTGGCACAACAAAATATACATAAATATAGACATTTTTGCTTGTCGTGTACAACTTGTGTACACATACATCGACTTCTGTATCACAAACATTTACATCTTTGCAAAAAAAAAAGTCAAATGCAAAGCGATGCTTGAATAGAGAATGTATTTGTCTATGGCCTAAATTTATTAGGGAAGTTTAGGGGTGAGCACGTTTTGGGATGGTCAAATATTTTGTCAAACCCGAACCCTTACCGTAACTATATTTAAACAGTATTGTTTCGTCCTAACACTAAAACCTTCCTGTACAGTTCTACTCTGTATTTTAAAATGGAATAATACCATGATATACGAGTTGTTATACCGTGGGATCATCCCACGGTTAGCATCCTACTCCCATATATAAAACGGTGCCGTTTAGATTTAATCTTTAACTTAAAACAAAATTCGTGTGAACAGTACCATTACATTTCTCTCAATATTTTCGTGATGTAAATCCTTTGTATTGATACGTAACTCACGCTATTGGAAAATGTAAATTTTGTGTATTCAAATGTAACTCACGCGCTGGTACATGTAACTTATTTTACTCTCTGAACTTGTTATAATACTACTTGAAATATAGTTTTTATAACAATTATTTTTATACAAACATTTTATATTTTTATTTCTATAAAAATGATTTTTATAAAAATAATTTTTCTTTCAATAGCATGAACTTATTTTGTTGTGTAACTCGCATTATATTGTGGTGTAACTTATGTTATGAAAAATGTAAATCACTTATAAGTGGGATGTAACTTGCTGTGGAAAATTGACATGTAACACATGTTAATAGATATGTACGTAACTTGAGATAAATGGAAATGGAAATCCTTTTAATAAAAATATAACTTTTCTTATATACCCAAGGATGCCTATCCCGCAGAAACGAACAAATCATTGAGTTCCATGGCTGCCTATCCCGTGTAGAAACCCAATCCCATCTTCAGAAATCATTGAGTCCTAAGGTCAGATTTCATCTCGTGTCAAAACACACTACTAGTTATAGCAGATTGGGGAGGGATTCGAGGAATTGAGAGGGGATTACGATGCTTTTGTGTGTTTTGGGTAATTCATGCGCAACTGAGGAAGACCTAGCTAGTTAGAGCAGATTCTCCTGAACTCAATTAAACCATAGCCTGTCATTGAGCAGTAAGTTTGTTGTGGATGAGGGAATACAATTTTCACTATGGGAAGCAACCTCCGATGATGATCGACAACGAGCCTGGGATTTTTTGGGGAGGAGTTAGAGAACCGGTTGTGGCCATTCAAATCCGGAGAGGATAGACTGACTTTTACTAATGAAAACGGCATCGTTTAGGATCGCGTGCGCAAGGTGGACGGATCCCACGATATAATTTGGGATGGTATACCAATGCCAAACGTTGTCATACAC